CATCGTTGTGGAGGAATTCTGGCCCGCTCTTCTTTACAACATTGCTTCAGTTCAAGAAGGTTTGCGGGCATTTGTTTATGCACAGCTCTCCTGAGGTCACGCCACAGCATTTCAGTCGGGTTGAGGTCTGGACTTCGACTGGGCCATTGCAACACCTTGCTTCTTTTCTTTTTCAGCCATTCTGTTGTAGATGTGCTAGTGTGCTTGGGATCATTGTCCTGTTGTATGACCCAATGTCGGCCAAGCTTTAGCTGCCGGACAGATGGCCTCACATCTGACTCTAGAATCCTTTGGTATACAGAGGAGTTCATGGTCGACTCAGTGACTGCAAGGTGCCCAGGTCCTGGTGTAATACATCATGTGTTGTTCATCTGAGGCTGTATTTACCTACTTTTGAGAACTGCGAAGGACCAGATGACTTTTATTATGTCCTGATACGTAAAACCACAGAACTCAAAGAGGGTGGACTTTCTTTTTCACACGACTGTATATGTAGATCTTTCCAATCGTTTTTGAAAGAAAGGACCCAGAGCAGCTCTGTGTGATGACTGCCTTTGCTCATCGAATACACCCTGGACACTCCCACTTGTCATCCTGATTCTGTTTTCCTCCAAACTCCCTTCCCTGTTTTTATGACTGTGCTTTCTCTGCATTGCCAAGTACAGTGCATTTCAAAGACGCGATCCTAGCTTCCCTTACGAGACGCTGAGCGGGGACGACGCGTGCTCCTTAACCCGCACAAAATCAGGCAGGAGAGATCTGTACACAGGCCATGAGTAATGGATAGGAGGAGTTAAGGTTTAACTCCCTGCTAAAAACTTAGGAAGGCTGCTTCCTGCAAGAGACTGAGGTGTTAAAAGTAATATTGGGAGCCCAAGGTCTCCTGGGGGTTGCTTTCAGAGCAGGATGGGGACACCTGACATTGAGGCAGGGTCACTCCGCTGCCCTCGGAGGAATTCATCCATGCGTGGCTGCTGCCTGCTGGAATCCTGTCCTCTGACTTGCAGCACGTGATTTCCAATCTCGGCATGAGCAAGGGATTGGAGAACAGCTGGGTACGTCTCCCGCCCTCCTGGCCAGCGTCCCCGGCTGTGCCAAACGCTTCTGCTAGGCTTCTGAGAAGAACCTAGGACAGCGCAGGGGGTTCCCCTCCTAGGCCACTTTTACTTCCAGATGGCACCATCGAAAGCAGGCAAGCTGCTTCCGCTTCGGGGTCTCAAACAACTGAGGAAGAAAATCTGAACCTCTTCTGGAACAACCTCCAAGGCTTTAAATCAGGTGATCCAATTCAGCAAGTGTTACTTTTGCATTTGGCCAGCAAAACTAAGCCCAGGTATTTAATGGTACCTTTTATATCTAATAGGCTGTTCTTTTTCAAGTAGCCAGATGTGTCCGAGCTGATTAGGAAAGCGATTTGCTGAAGCCCTCTTAAGGAGTTTGAAAGGTGGCCTTCAAATATCAACTGTTTCTCGGACGTTATTTTGACTGGACCATTTCCAAATACTTTAGGAGCTCAACAGGGGAACAGCTGGTGCCCTGGCACAGATCAGACTTTTCAAGGGCTGGGGAGGGCACCTGAAAGCTGCCGACTAGCCTGGGACCGGCTTCCTCCCAGCTGGTCTTCTGCCAGCTGATCAGATGTATCAATGCCTGATTTCCTTCACTGCAAGTAGCAGCTGGAAACAACTCCGGGTATCGTAAGAAGGTCAGAAGCTCCCTAGCAAGAAAGACGCAAGGCTCTTCTCCCTCTAGGGACGATCGTCCGGCGTGGGAAGGCAGCTTTCCGTCAGCAAGGGAGGTTGCCTTTATGTGCAAGGAATGGGAAACTGGGTGTGCAAATGCACCCTTAAGGGCAGGCTGACTGGTGTGTCCTAAAAGTCTGATCTGCTGGTCTTCAGGGCCTGAAACGTTTCAGCATCCAAAGACCTGGGGGTGGCCACAGACTATGATTAAAAAAGTCAAAACGGCAGCCGCAACAGCGCAATAGAAGCTCCGCTTGTTTTGCAAGTAAGTAAAGAGTAAAAAACGCACCGCTGCAAAGAACAGTGCATTATTTACTTTTCTTATTTCACCGATTTCTTCTCTTGCTGCTCTGGTGTTTCAAATGTCATGCCCATGGATCTTGCAAGGTCTCTGACTTTTACCTGTCTTGCTTAACTCTGGGGGAGGGCAAATCCAGCCACCCTTTTAGAGAGCCACAAGGCTACGATACACCCAGACACACCCGTCCTGAAAAGGTGCCACGTCCGGCTGCTGCCGCTGACGAGGAGACGTGCTTGCTTCGTCTGCTCAGAATCTGCAGCCTTAGTGGGACGAGGCGTTCACTGGATTTCTGAGGTTCTTAGTGAAAACCTGGCGGGAGGGGTCCCTTTGAGATGCCTTCACAATACTAAGCCGGTCTCTTCTCCCCTCTTGCCCCACGTGAAGGAAGGCCTGGCCAACAGGTCAAGTAGAAGATGGCTGCATTCACACAAGCCATCCCTAAACCAGGTTAACAGAACACCCTACCCTTTGGCAGCACTATGGAAACGGTTTGCCCTGCCTCCTTTGAGAATGGTTTCATTTTCCCGGTCCTGAGATTTCCTGGTGGTCTCCCTTCCAACAGGCCCGAACCTGCTGAGCCTTCTGAGAGCAGCCAAGATCAGTGCAACCGTACCACCCACCAAGAAGTTTACAAATGTCCAGCAAATAAAGCATTTGATGGCTTAACACACCACAGGTCAAAGCAAAGGCCCAGTCCTCACGATAACGAACCACAGACTACCCAGCCCCGCTTTAGCCTAGTCTAGCACGCGGTGTGAATCTAGCATGCCAGCTCAGTGCCCAAGGACTCAAGCGAGGGGGACGCAGGGCAGGGTCTTCAGCCCGTCCTCCCAGCCACCTGCACTCACGTTCTCCCTGATCATGATCTGGCTGACTTCAGACATCACGGACTTGGCGGTGCTGGTCTTCTGCCGGTTGATGAAGATCACCCCTCCGAGGTACATTATCATCCCCACGGGCCCCGTGTACAGCAGCTCCCTCTTGCCAATCTGGACGCAGCGCTCTGGAAGGACTTCCATCAGCCCTGCGAAAGAGGGGGGCAGGAGGGACACACGTGAACAGTTGCCCCCAAGACTGGAAGGTGCCAGCGCCAAGCGTCTCCTTTCTCTCTCTGCTGATCGTGACCAGCCAAGACTCAGAGGAACATCCCATTCGGACTGGGGGACCCCAGCCTAGTCTCTAGCCTGCTTCCCAGGGTGGTCGGGCGGGTAAAAATGGAATAAAGCTACACAGCCATCTGTACAGCTCTGAAGCCTCAGTCAAGGTTTCATAGTCCCTAGGTGCAATGGGGTGTGGGAATGGCCCTGGGAGATGGGGGAGAAGAGGTGCTGCCTCGGGAATGACCAGATAAGGGAGAGGAAGCCCCCAGCTGCATAACAGGCAGAGAAAGAACCTCAGAGGGGACCCTCCCTAGCTTCTCAGGCTGCAAAAAGAGACGGCGGGGATTTGTACTTTCAGACTTGCAAGGTTCTGTTAATGTAGCCTTGCCATAAAGCGGAACTGGCTCATCTGGTCATATTTCCTGTCTGGACTACCTGGGAAGGCTGACACTGAGGACGCTGGGCTCTCTCAGCCGCATTTCATGGACCAGGGCTGGGACTGGGGCCTCAGCACTGAGGCCAGGTGGTTCACAGGCAGCTGTGGGACAACAGGCAGGACCGACCAGGAGGCACCCATCTTTCAGGAAGCAGATTCCCATCCATTCATATCACACCCCTAACCTGCTTAACAACCCATTCACATGGGTCGTAGCCTATGATGAACCATAAACCAATCAAACCTCTTTTCAGTCTGCCATTTTTAATTAATATATTAATATAAATTTAATAATTAAATAATCTACACAGGTAGTCCTCACTTAATGACCACAATGGGTACCAGAAAATTGGTCATTAAGCTGGGCAGTCACTAAGCAAGTCACGTGACCAGACCTGATTTAATGACCATTTTTATGGCAGTCATTAAGCAAATCCAGCTTCCCCTATGGGCGTTTTTTCCTGGAATTCACTTAACAACCACACAATTTGCTTAACAACCACATGATTCACTTAACAACAGTTGTAAAAAAAGGTTGCAAATTGTGATCATGTGACTGTGGGGGGGTGCGACAGTTTGCAATGGTCATAAGTGCAAGTACAGGTTGTAAAGCACTTTTCCTGAGACCATCATAACTTTGAACGGTCATTAAATGAATGGTCATTAAGCAAGGATTACCTGTATATTGAAATATAAACTATTTATTATTTATAAATAATATACATTTAACAAACTATTATTATTAATACTTAAACATTACTAAACCGTCCTACAAAGGGTACAGAACTGGCAAGGATTCTTTGTGTTTCTCAAGGGAAATTGCTAAGTCTCTTTTGCAGAAGAAATATAAAGAGGAATTAATGCAGAAACCATTTTTGGATTATAAACAGGTTCATACTACATCCAAAGTCTGGATTCTTTCTAACATATGATTAAAACACCTTATTTTTTCAGATTAGGCAGGAATTATTGCAATTCTTGACTTATCTTGGCTCATAATTTATAATTTGATTTATATTGGTCATAGTTATTAACTATAATGACCTAATTTTAATACTTGCGTACTTCAGTACTGACTTACACCTTCAAACTGATACTAGATATTATAATTTGTAGGTTTACATCCTTGTTATTTGGAAATTTTATAGCAAATGTTATGATGATGATAAATGTCCTATGTTTTTTTTCCTTTTTCTTTGATTGCATTTGTAATAATTATTACAAATGATTAAATAATATAATTACTGAAATTATTTTTAATTATTAATGTGTTGTTATTATTATTCCAAACATAATGAATGAAAGGGAGGCAGACAGACAGGTTTAACCCTAACCAAGCTTGGTATACTATGCAAATATGTCTCTTGGGTTTTTAGCACACTGGGGTAGGCGCGTGGTGCGAACACAGCCATCGAGTTTAAGAAGACCACTGACGGTGGGTGAACCACTGTCTGGCTTCTGTGGCTTCCCCCCTTCCATTAAATCTCAAGGAAAGGCAGCGGAACGGCCCCTCCCGGACGTCTCCCCCAGCAGGACCTTTTCGGTGGCTGCACAAACCGAGCCCGAGAGGGCCCCCCCCCCTCCGTGACCGGGGAGCCCTGAGCCCTACCGATCATGTCCAGGACGCTCTGGTGGTTGGAGACGATGACACACGGACCCTCGAGCTCGAAGTGCTCCAGACCCTTCACTTCGAGCCTCAGGCCGTAGACGTACTTGAAGGTGCGGACCACATTTTTGATGATCCTAAAGAGACAAGCAAAGGCCAGGAATCAGACACCCGGAGCCTCCCCAGAGGTGGACCCTTGCGAAAACCCCCTCCTCAGCCCAAGCCACACTCTTCCTAACTCTTCCCGCTAGCCTGAACGCAGCAGATACTTCAGCCACTGATTTACTATCCAAAACCCCAGTTTCTTAAAAGGGTAAACCTTTTTGTGACGTACTGGGAAGACCGAGAACCAATCTTCCAGCTTGCAGCCTCCCAGCTGGGAAAACAAGTTTGTCTCCTTTCCTCCCTTTCAGTCACCTCCATCAACAACCTTCTGGATGAGGCAAGGAGGTAACTGGCTATGCCCAGGATCCCGTATTTAAAGGAAGACCTGCGGCTGGGTGTACGCCCCAATACCCCGCTGCCCTCGGGGTGAAGGGAGCAGGTCAGGCCTCGTAGCTCCCTGGGATCTCTTTCTGCCTCTCACGTTCGGGAAGAAGGTCTTCTTCCCGTGTCCTCACAGGAGGAAGAGGCTGCTGGCGACAGATCTGCACAAGGGGGGTGGGGGGTGGGATGGGGGACAGACCCCAGCCCCGGAAATCTTTCACCTAGGCGCTGCCACGCCCATCGTGAAATTAATGCTAAGATCACCCTTCTTTTCTCATCAGGAAGGCCACAGTGGAAGACAGCAACCAAAAAGCAGAAAACTGTGCATTTTAAAGCCCAGACATTAAATCCAGAAGCACATTTCCTTATACAGCTTGGGAAGTACTGTAGGACAAGAAACGTGGCAGCCTTCAGCCAAACTCACTTGCAATGTTAAGGATTCTTAAAATGGTAGTTTGTGGAAAGGTTTGCCAACCCAAAGAGGCCCCTGAGTGTTTTTAGGGGTTTGGGGGCTGTGGCAGGGGGAGACATGAGTGACCCAACTGTCATTTCCTTTGGGTCACCATTTAACTGAGATGACATATAGTTATTTTACTGAGATTTTACCTCAGTTACATCTTCCTCTTTTGTCATATTGCGGATCGTGGCTTGGCAGCCACGTGGGGAGCTCCCTGGGAGGAGCAGGTGACCACCCCGGGCCTCAAACGCTGCTCTTCGGTTCATGCCACCTCTCCAAGAGGGACTGCATGAAGGACACTCCCAAATCCAGCTTGGGGAGACCTCTCAGGCGTTCGCAGCAAGGAGCAGCTTAAGGCCTTTCTCCCCTTGGCCCAATCATGGCATTAAGATGCCCTGAAAACCTTTGGCTCTGCATTGCCCTGCCTTCTTCTTATCCCCAGCCCAGGACCACAGGACTGTGGGGTTGGAAGGAACGGATCCTGGAGGTCTCCTAGCCCACCCCCTGCCCAGGGCAGGAATCCTCAGACCATCCTGGACTAAGGGCTGCCCAACCTGGGCTGGGTGAAGCGAGGAGGCAGCCCTTTCCAAGCCCCCAGTTAGCAAGTTCCAACAGATGGGCAAACCTGTGGTTCTCGGGCTGATTTCCCTGCAGGGAAATGAGACCAGAATAGGGCAACTGGAATTGGCAACGGCAAAATGTACCTTGCTTTAGTTTTACAGAGGGATGGCGGGCAGGGGGGCACCATCGGAGCCCCTGGGAAGACACTTGTAAGGAAGACACCAAACCAGTTTCCCTTCAGGTTATAATTGCAACTTCCATCCCGATCTGCAAGAGCCCGAACCTTCTAGAGATACTAGGACACCTAGAATTCCCATGGCTGGCATGGGCAAGACCGACCGAGAGTTGCTAATCTGGCATTCGCACCAGGGAGGAAGGGGGAGTCCAGGACACTCCAGCCACTCCTGAGCGACAAGTCCCAGTCTGGTTTGCTATGGGTCCAGCTGCAGCATTTCAGCGCCGCCTGGGAGTCTGCAAGTGCCCCACGCAAAGGGAGCCTCCCCTCCGCTCTGCCCCCGACGCTTCACCAGCCCGTCGTGGTTCTGCGATGGAGGCAGCGGCAAGGAAGGCGGAGAAGCTGGTTGGGCAAAGCAGAGGGAGGTTCCCACGCTCTGCCCAGGAAGACGGAGAACACATGGCTCCCCAAGCCAGGGGAGGGGCAGATGGCACGTCACCCTGCAGCGCTGGGGCTGACTGGCTCTCTCAGCCGCCCCAGCCTCACACAACTGGGGGCAGAGTCCGCTTCCAACCCACAGAGCTTCCTGGAGTGGGGCAGACAGAGCCGTGAGTAGCTGCTAGGCCAGAGATCAAGGCCAGAGATGCGACCCGCCCTTGACTGCGACTTTTCAATTACTCTTTGTCCAGAAGGAGGATGAAAACAGCAGCTTTGCAAACCTCTTCAGTTCAAGAGCCTGAACGCAACAACAGCTCGCTTTTCTGCCTGCGAGGAAAAAGCATTTCGCAGAAGCGTCTGCAGAGTGACGTAGCCTGCTTGCAGGACTTTGCATTAGGTCGTTCTTTCAAGGCCATTTTGCTTTCAATTTCCTGGGCTCACAAACACACTGCTAAGCCAGAAGGGTCAGGTTCACCCACCCCAGAACAGACAGTTCAAGTTTGGACCCATTTTAGATTCACGGAGTTCTCTTGAACACTGTTGGTCAAGATGGCTGAACGTGTTTCCCCATCTACACTTAGCCAGCCCCAGGATCACTGCTCCTAGGCCCCAATTCCCTTCTATGTGGGGCATCTTCAGGGCCCCCCTCTCAAAAGCAGGAGGAACAGCCACCCACCAATGCCAAGAAAGAATTTCAGACCTCTAAATGCTAGACTGAAAATGCTGGAGATTTTTTTGTGGTAAGGCTTACTGAGCCCTTTTGCAAAAAGCAAGGGGACGCTGCGTTAGCAAAAACTGCTACACACTAAAATGATGAAAGAGGGAGGCCAACGCCTTGCCTGCCCCCCACCTCAAATCCAGAGCAATTGCATGACTATTTTTACCAAGCAATGGCGAAGCATGCTTTTGGAAAATATGGATGGGTGCCACATAGCAATCCAACTAGATGATATCTAAATCTTCCTTCTTTGACAATCCCTCTTTCACCACAAAAGGAAACTTCTCAAGAAGTTTCTGGTGCCTTTACAGCCAGGGGAAAAAGAAAACCAGTCCATCAGGATCCTGGGCGTGTGTATATTTGCACCTTCCAATCTCAGCAGGGGAGGATAAAAATATCATCCAAAACCTCAAGAACAACATCAAAGAAAGGAGGGGCAGCTGTCATAATGAATAAGTGGATTATGTCAAAGAAGCTTAGAAGCAACTCTCAAACCCACGTTCTGCCAACTTCCATCCTCAGATCCCACAGCAAGATATCAGAAAGAACTATGTAATTGATAAAATAATTTCCCAGGAACATACAAGATGGTATCTGCATGGAGACATCCTAGGAGCCCTGATCAGGCATCTTCTACCTACATCCCAACTCAGACCTCAGCCTTATGCCACCAGCACTCCCAGCTACAGACAGGATACCAGAGTTCCTCAGAAAACTGAACTCCACAGTCGATCTCCCTAAAAACCCCGTTTTAGCTCCCATGGATGTTGAGGCACTATATGCCAACATCCCACACAACCATGGACTTCAGGCCATCATCATCAGTGATGTCAACACAACACACATTGGCATCAGACGGTATGAGGTACAGACCCAGGACTACTTCACTTTTGGCAATAACATGTACAGTTGTGTGAAAAAGGAAGTATACCCTCTTTGACTTCTTTGGTTTTACATATCAGGACATAATAAAAACCATCTGGTCCTTAGCAGTTCTCAAAAGTAGGTAAATACAGCCTCAGATGAACAACAACACATGACACATTACACCAGGTCATCATTTATTTCAAGTTCTTGCTGCTAAAGGTGGTTCTACAAGCTATTGAATCATAAGGCGTACTTAGTTTTTCACACATGGCTTCTCCATGTTGGCTTTCTTTTTGTAAAATAAATGATGACCTGGTGTAATGTGTCATGTGTTGTTGTTCATCTGAGGCTGTATTTACCTACTTTTGAGAACTGCTAAGGATTCAAGTTCTTGCTGCTAAAGGTGGTTCTACAAGCTATTGAATCATAAGGCGTACTTAGTTTTTCACACATGGCTTCTCCATGTTGGCTTTCTTTTTGTAAAATAAATGATGACCTGGTGTAATGTGTCATGTGTTGTTGTTCATCTGAGGCTGTATTTACCTACTTTTGAGAACTGCTAAGGATTCAAGTTCTTGCTGCTAAAGGTGGTTCTACAAGCTATTGAATCATAAGGCGTACTTAGTTTTTCACACATGGCTTCTCCATGTTGGCTTTCTTTTTGTAAAATAAATGATGACCTGGTGTAATGTGTCATGTGTTGTTGTTCATCTGAGGCTGTATTTACCTACTTTTGAGAACTGCTAAGGATTCAAGTTCTTGCTGCTAAAGGTGGTTCTACAAGCTATTGAATCATAAGGCGTACTTAGTTTTTCACACATGGCTTCTCCATGTTGGCTTTCTTTTTGTAAAATAAATGATGACCTGGTGTAATGTGTCATGTGTTGTTGTTCATCTGAGGCTGTATTTACCTACTTTTGAGAACTGCTAAGGATTCAAGTTCTTGCTGCTAAAGGTGGTTCTACAAGCTATTGAATCATAAGGCGTACTTAGTTTTTCACACATGGCTTCTCCATTTTGGCTTTCTTTTTGTAAAATAAATTCAAGTTCTTGCTGCTAAAGGTGGTTCTACAAGCTATTGAATCATAAGGCGTACTTAGTTTTTCACACATGGCTTCTCCATTTTGGCTTTCTTTTTGTAAAATAAATGATGACCTGGTGTAATGTGTCATGTGTTGTTGTTCATCTGAGGCTGTATTTACCTACTTTTGAGAACTGCGAAGGACCAGATGACTTTTATTACGTCCTGATACGTAAAACCACAGAACTCAAAGAGGGTGGACTTTCTTTTTCACACAACTGTATCTACAAATCAGTGGCACGACCACGGGTGCATGCATGGCTCCTCAATACACAACAATCTTCATGACTGACCTAGAACAATGCTTTCTCAACTCTTATCCTTCCCTTGAGATTCACCGATGACATTTTCACCATCTGGACCCATGTAAATGAATTCCATCATGACTACAACTTCCACCCCACCATCAACCTCCACGTAGACCTATCTACAGAACAAGTCCACTTCATTGATGTCACAGCTACTACATGCTCTATGCTCCCAGCTTCCACCCAGAATACACACCAAAATTATCACCTGTAACCAAGCTCTACGCTGCCACTGCATTTGTTCTGATCCACTTTAACAGAGATGCTCAACTGGTGGAGTTAAGCCTGGCATTCACGGGACTGAACAACAACAAGATCAAGAGATAAATCCACAGAGCCAGATTGATTTCTAGGGAGGACCTGTTAAAAGGCTCACCACAAAAACAGAATATCACTGCAGCTCGTAGCTCAAGCCATGCAAATGCATCATGCATAAGCTACACCCCAAACTGGACAATGATACTGCACCTTCTCAGGCCCTGGGTGGCAAGTCCATACCTGCATACCAGCAACCACACAACCAGACCCAGATTCTCACAAGGAACCATGAGGGTAACATGGGAACCAGACTCTCCAATGTTTACTTTGTTCCACATCTACACCAACTGTGAGGTGCCAAGAAGCACACACACAAGATTACAGGCACCTTTGCACGCTCTTCCTCCAATGTGATCTACATAGGACAAACAGGACAAATTTTGCAGAAAAAGGTATTGGGCACACGTTTGACCCAGGCCGAAGCAAAACAAGGACAAGGAATCTTCGTTCCTGAGGGAAACTGGCTTATGCTCCTGCCAGGACAAGGATGCCACATTTAGACCTTGGATTCTGGGCTTTTTCTTCTCCTCAATAGGAAAAAAGATATTATAAAAGCAACCCCAAGAACAAAGCACTACCAGTTTTATGAGAGAAAACCTTAACTCCAAGTGTGGCACAGACTCTCTGTGTTTCTCAGGCAGTGGGGGATGCAATTTGCCCAGCCGTGCCACTGGATTCACTGGACCATTTATCCAAGTCACTGTATTCCCTGCAGGAATCAGGATGCCAGGAAGGGCAGGTTGGGGCCGTCTGCATTTCAGGGGGAGGCTGTTCCACAACTGTCACAAGAGAGAAGCCATGCTTCTGAGGACCCACCAAGCAATGTTGTTTCACGGATGGGACTCGGAGTGTGCCCACTCTGCCCGATCTGATGGGATGGGCAAAAACCATGGGGGAGAGCTGATCCCACAAGTAAGACCTTCACTTAACCTACCTCATAGGCCTGTTGTGAGGCTCAAGTTGCAGAGAAGGGAGAACCTTAACATGCCATCTTGCGCAACCAGGAAGAAAACAACTTCTGCAACCTTTATATTTATATTACAAAGCACACATATGCATAATATCAACTCAAACGGGTATTCTATTACTACCCTTTGAGGTCCACCCAACTGCCACCAGCTCTTAGCATCCCAAATTAATGAGATCACCAAGCGCTGAAGGAGACCCACAGCACAAGCCTTGAGAACACATTCTGCCACCCTTAAGAGGAGGCGGCACACTGCTGCAGGGCCTTTCGCTAACCTGGAGAGACCACCACAGCCTGGATGAGGCACCAGTTTTAAAAAGGCCAAGGGACCAACCACATCCCCACAGCTGCTTGGAGGAGCCAGAAGCCCACAGCCCAACACAGGCCGAGCCTTCAGGAGCTGGATTTGAACAGCGCCTGGAAAGCTGCAGCAGCCGGGACAGGATTCTCATCTGCCTTAAGCCAGCAGGGATCTCTTCAGCGGAACCCAGACACTGTGGTTTGTAAACTGGCTTGTGGCTGCCTTCCCCTTGTCCAGAAAAGCTGGGGACAACTTGCAGAATTCCCCAGTCAGCATATCCCACACATCTGGAGGGCACCAGGTTGGGGCTTGCTTCTACAGCAGCCAGCTGGCTTCTACTCTGACTCTGCAAAGGCCTGCAGAATGGAATTGCCAACATCAATCTTGTCTACAAGGCTGCCGTGTGGCCAAGAACAGCAGACGCTCTCTGGAATCTGGCTAGCAACAGCCCGCAGCTCCTGGTCAGCTTTCCCAAGGCTGTCTGCGCAGTCCTTGGGGGAAGCGAGAGGCTGAGTTCCAGGGGCCTTTTCTCTGGCTGAGTTCATAAATCACAATATGCTGTAATCTGAGCTTCCCACAAAGGTTAAATTCACACGTTGCAGTAAGCTATAAGCCATGGTTTACACATCCCAGTCGCTGGGATCATGCAAAACATTAAACCCAAACCCAACAAACCACATTAAAATATAGGAAGATCCAATCTTTGGTGTCCTTCAAAACGCAGGATTTTTGAAACAGTATTTGAACTACATCTTAAAAATCTATTTAAAATATACATATAGTAGCAGGTGCTTTACACTAGCAATTCCACACTTCTTAGATACTCCCTCAGCGTACCGAGAGCAAAGCAGGAAGACTTTCTGCTCAGGGAATTTCATTTCCAGGAAAATAGAGTTGTTTTGCCTCTCTGTGGACATACGCACTTCATCTGACACAGAGTAAACTCTACATGCTGTTCTAACCTGAATTGGGCAACACACTGTTTACTGTTCACAGTCCCTGCCTACTCGGTTGCCTTCCAGCAACTTTTCAGAGCCAAGCTACAGCTCTGTTATCAAAACCCAGCTTATCTGAGGGCAGGATATACACTTTGGGCTGGCTCCATTCACATTAGGATCAGCAAGACATGCCAAAGGCCAACCCCCTCCCCAAAGGATAGGGCCCCTTAGGAAGTTCAGGAGCTGAAAGGGAGAACTGGTATCTTCACCAAGCATCTCCAAAACTTAAGGCACCCATTTTCCCTTTTAAATCTCCCTACGCTGCAAAAAAAGCTCCGTTTTTTATCACATCCGCTCCAGGAGACTCTGGGAAGGTCAGAAAACAGAGGCTGATGGGGTGAACTTGGAGACTGGCATTCCAGGTAAAACAGGAAGTCACTCATGAAAAGGAGGGTCGTCTCCAGCAGCTCTTACTGGGTCCCATGAAACCGAAGGAGCCCCCGTGCCTTCTTCTGAGCAGGCCCTTCTTTTAAAGAGCAGACAGATGTCTCTAGTGTTTATCACGTTAGAGGAGGAGAAAAGGGAGCTACGCTGATTTCCTGTCTCTACTTGCCGCCTTGAATGAAAGGTATTCCAGGAACTGCACGCTTATTAAGGCCTTACACACCCAACCCTCAAGCAGACAGGAATGTAGAGGGAGGGAGGTGAATTGGGACACAGAAGCCATACAGGAAGGTGATGCCACACCTTCCAAGGAGCTGGGCTGGAAGAAAATGTCACCTTCACTGTAAACAAGGAGTACAGTAGCCAAAAATCAGGAGGTGTCTGGCAGCACTTTTTCCAACTAACAAACTGAATCGAAAGACTCTGGTTTTTGAAGAGAAACACCTCATCGCTTTCCCTGGCCTAAATATGTACAAAGCTTGGTTCAGTTCCTAGACTTTCCATCTTGGTCCATCTACTTCTTAAGAGTAAGGACTTTGGCCCAGGGTTAGCCATGGCCTCGGGCTTGAAAAAAAGATGCAACTATTTGGGATGTTTTATTAAACTGAGTCATGAGCAGAGGGATTCACTTTTTTTTCCCTTATCAGTTTGCACTTAGGCTGAGGAAAGAGAATTTGCTTGTAAAGGTCTTTCAAGGAAGGGAATTTCAGGGAAATGATCATGGCT